GGCAGTTGCTGGGACAATCTCCTGTGGTGCCATGGGCAGACCTGCCCTCGCGCTAACCTAGAGCACTTCTGGTGGGTCGCAGACACACTTGGTGTTTTTTCCTGCAAGAATGGCTCCCCTTCGTGCCTTCCGGACCTTGTTCAGGCTTCCGCTGCCTGTGCCAGTTACCCACACACCGGGAGGCAGTCTCTGGGACAATCTCCTGAGCTGCTATGGGCAGGGCCACACTTGGGCTAGCCTAGAGCACTGTGGGGGCTCACAGCTATGCCAGGTGTGTGAGAACGGTACCTCTTTGTGCCTTCCAGACCTTGCTCTGGCTTCCTCTGTATGTCCTGGTCAGCTGCGCACTTGGAGGAGACTGTGTGGTTGCTGTGGGTGCAGCTGTTCCCTGGCTGCTCCACAGCTGTGATGGGTCAGTCGGTCTCCTTGCAGCACCAGCCAGGGGGAATGAATGGCAGGTTGCTTATCACCAGGAGGGGCTTCGGGGCTACTTTACCCCCCAGGGGATCAGGGGGCCTGAAGTTCCTCAAGATTCCCGCCTGCTGGACTGAGTGTGCTGGCACGATTTTGTCCAGTTGTTGAGCCCTTGTCCTTTTTAAGACTTCTAAAAAAGCACCCGCTTTTCTTTTGTCCCAGGAAGCCGGCTGTGGGGACCTGCTCGCAGTCTCCATCTTGGATTTTACCTTTCCGTTTCTCTACTATCCAGTGCACCGTGCAATGTGTTTCTGTGCTCCCGGTGCAGATTACTAGGGCTGGTTATTTAGGGTCCTGTGCTTCCACTCCTTCCTTACTCTGACTCTTTTCCTCCACTATTGAGCTGGGGTCCAGGGAGTGCTCGGGTCCTACCGGGTCACGGCTTTGTATCTTACCCAGTTTGTGAGATGCTGAGTTCTTGAAGATGTAGATGTAGCCTGTCTGTTGTACTGTATCTTCTGGTCTGTCCTTTAGGAATAGTTGTATTTGTTTGTATTTTCAAAAACACATATGATTTTGGGAGATTTCCACGGCCCTACTCATACTGCCATCTTGAGCCCCCTCTTTTATTCTTTATTTATTGCTTATTTTCCATTACTTTATGATCATTCTGTCTCCATTGTTCTCTGCAGTTTATAGGAAAAGCATCCAACAACACAAAGAAAATGTGACTTCTAGTATGTTCCTCATAATGAAGCATCCATACTTGGGGATTTCATTTGGGTTCTGATATTGGAATTTAGTGTTCTTAACACAAATAGTTTAGTGCAAATCATACTTTGATATTATGTTGAAATTTAAAATTTTATATCTGGGAGTTATTTACATTGAAATTTTTGAGTTTCACACTTTGAGAAGCTTGTGTTAAAGAATCTCTCCCAGCTTCTAAAATGGCAGTCTAAAATTAGATTCTCAGACTTTACATAATATTCAAGCTTTGTTTTATATGTATTTGATAAATATAGATTAAATGCTGGCTATGTCCGGAGCCAAACTTGTTGGATAACTGAGTGACATAAAAGGAATAATCAAAACTAGATTAAAACCTTTTATTTACAAAATGATTATGGTTCACCACTCCAGCTCCCAGTTCACCCACCAGCTCATATATAATTCGAAATGAAAACAATACTGAAATAAGCAATAATGTAAGTGTAAGAAAATACAGTCAACTTCTGATTTTTATTATATAGACTACTTTGATGCATACTTCAAAGGCATACTTTTCAGAAACAAAAGCATCAAACTCTTAGAAGAAAACATAGGCAAATATCTCTTGAATATAAACATGAGCAACTTTTTCCTGTATTCATCTCCTCAGGCAAGGGAAACAAAAGCAAAAATGAACAAATGGTACTACATCATGCTAAAAAGCTTCTGTATAGCAAAGGACACCATCAGCAGGACAAAAATGCATCCTATAGTATGGGAGAATATATTTGTAAACAACTTATCTGATAAGGGTTAACATCCAAAATATATAAAGAACTCAAACGTCTCAACAAACAAAAAAAGCAAATAACCCGATTAAAATATGGTCAGAGGATATGAACAGACACTTCTCCATAGAAGAAATTCAGATGGCCAACAGGCAAATGAAAAGATTCTGCACATTGCTAATTATGAGGGAAATGCAAATTAAAACCACAATGTGATATCACCTCACACCAGTTAGGATGGCCAACATTGAAAAGATTAGAAACAACAAATGCTATTGAGGATGCGGAGAAAGGAGATCCCTCCTGCACTGTTGGTGGGAATGTAAACTAGTTCAACTATTGTGGAAAGCAATACGGAAGTTCCTTAAAAATCTAAAAATAAAAATGCCATTTGACCTGGAAATTCCACTCCTAGGAATTTACCCAAAGAAAACAAGTTCTTGGATTCAAAAAGACATCTGCACTCCTATGTTTATTGCAGCACTATTTACAGTCACCAAGATGTGGAAGCAGCGTAAGTGTTCATCAGTAGATGAATGGTTACAGAAGACGTGGTACATATACAGTGAAATACTATTCAGCCATAAGAATGAAACAAATCGTACCATTTGCAACAACATGGATGGAGCTAGAGGGTATTATGCTCAGTGAAATAAGTTAGGCAGGAAAAGACAAATACCGAATGATTTCCCTCATTTGTGGAGTATAACAATGAAGCAAAACTGAAGGAACACAACAGCAGCCAACTTGCAGACTCCAAGAAGGGACCAGTGGTTATCAAAGGGACAGGTGCAGAGGGAGAGAGAGGAATGGAGGGGTATTATGATTAGTTCACATGGTGTTGGGTGTTCATGAGGAAGACAGTGTAGCACAGAGAAGACAAATAGTGGTTCTGTGGCATCTTTCTACACTGATGGACAGTGACTGCAGTGGGTTATGGAGGGACACTCGATAATATGGGTGAATGTAGTAACCAAATTGTTTTTCTTGTGAAACCTTCATAAAAGTGTATTTCAATGATACCTTAATAAAAAGAGTTCTGTATATCAGTGTTGTGTTTCATTCTGTAGGATCTGGGGATAGGACATGTAGATTGTGGGAACCATGGATCACCACTATACATACTCAGATACCAGTTAAGTGTTCGTATTTTGTTCTGAAAGTGTGAGAGAATCCTGGATTCCTTCCAGTCATGTATTTTTTATACCTAATAATAACCAGAATTCAATTGTATAATTGTTTTCTGTGACATATTTGTTTTTCTCCCTTCCCAGTGGTTTGTTGGAGTTGACACGTACCAACTCATAAAGTGCCAATTGTTATATTTAAAGAATTTTGTGAACTGGTTGTTTCATACCGTCCTTATTAAAATTAAATTATATAAACTTTAAATCAAGAACATTAAAATAAAAGGTAGCAAGTACTCAAAACTCACCACTTCTTAGTGATGATGTTACACTTCAGTGCTCCCTGTGCTCTGGAGGTTACTTGTGTCTGTTGTGTCTCTATAGAAATACCACATGAGTGTTTGTTTCTGCTTACCCTTCCCAGTTTGGTGCTGGGTGACATCAGTTTGCTAACTCGAATTGGGCCACAGTGAGAGTACTGACATCACTAAAATTGGCAAATGCTGTAAGTCAGGCCTGATTTACTGTTTTTAAGGAAATGATAGAGAAAATATTAATAATACAGATAAAAATTCAAAGTTCATTATATCTGTGTCCATTACATTGTGAATAGCACAAAAAAATGAAGAAATATTCTTCCACTGTTTCAGAACCATTAATCATTCAGCAGAGAAGTCACTCACACAACTGACAAACAAGCAAAGCTCTAACATGTATCACTTTGGTCTCAGTTTTTACCATAAACAAAAATATCTGCCATTGTTCCTGTTGGAACTACTCAGATGTCATTGGTGGCTTTGAAGTTCAGCAAAGTTGAGCATCAGTTGGTTAAATTGCAGTAAAGAACATTATGTATTTTATTGTTCTTAGTAAATTTTGTGCTTCACATCCTTTATATCAGTAAAATTTGTAATAAACTTGTTATAAATATGAATAAACATATTGAAGTAATATATTCATTTTAAATGTATATATTAGCATGTATGTGTTTGTTATATGTGCATAATTTTCCCCAGAGAACTGGTGATTTACCAGCACACATCATTCTGAACCATGAACAAGACTAAATATAGCTTACTATATCAAATTCAGATTTGCATAGATTTCCTTTTCTTTCTTTCCCTCATTCTTTCCCTGTTCTTTTTTCTCTTTCCCTCCTTTCTTACATCCCTTCCTGTTTTTTCTGTTTCTCTCATTCTTCCTCCACAGTGACTTGTTACACACTGTATGAAACCAAGGAAGCCAGAAAACACCTGAATTTCCTATTTTGTCAGGTGTCAGTTATATAAGAGTATCTTCCAAGATTGGAGGAGCATTTTTAAATTTGTATTCTATATTGCAGTTTGCATATCAAATTATATTTCATACATTAACAAAATCATTTCTGTGGAAATTCATTTAAGATATGAATATAGTGAGTTTCTATCTGTTAGCAATGCTCTAAAACCAATTTTTCTTTTCTAACCAGTTACTTAGTCATTTCAGAATTTATGTCTCAAGGGTACATTTTGACTTGAGTCATTGTGAAGTGAATTTGGTTTATAGGATTGACAAAGATAATAGCTACCACTTAATGTGCTAGGTGCTTTCCTGTTCTGTTTCTAACCCTTGCAATAATCCATGAGGCTGGTGTTGTTATTCTTATTCTACAGATGAGAAAGCAGAGATTGAGCAACTTTGTAATTGTCACACATCTCCTAAGTTCTAGAGCTGGTAGCCTGTTTCAGGTCTGTCTCCAAAGCCTGCGCTTTTTTCAAATACCAGACTACCTTAGGTTAGTTCTTATTAATAGTACATTACAGAAATTAGATCTTACAGCAAAAACTTTTTATTCTTAATGGCTGTTTATCTCAAGAACTATTTAACATGCAGAAAATTGCACTTCACAGAAACTTTCTTGTCATGCATTAGACTGATGTAAATGTTTCATACTCATTTAATTTTATTTCTGTCCTCATAGTCTTGGTGGAGGACCAGATGATGCAAAAGAAATTATGAGACACAGTTTCTTTTCTGGAGTAAACTGGCAAGATGTATATGATAAAAAGGTAAGTTATCTTCATGGCATACTCTTTATATATTTTGGTTAAAATGAATTCACAGCAAAAAATGTTTTAAATGAATAGAAGTTAATAATGCAATATTTTTCATTTTTACTCTCATTTAATTGAATATTGAATTTCTTAGCACAAAATTTTATTGATAATTTTGACTTTCAAATTCATCTTGAAATTTGATTCAATATGATCTAGTTGATTTTTCTTTTTTTAAATCACAATAATTTCTCAGTTTGCTGTTCATTGTTTCCTTAATATGGAAAAAATAAAGACATATATAGTATGTTATTTTTTAGAAGAACTCATGAGCAAAAACAATTTTTTTATTTGTCCTAAGCCTTTAATTTTAAAGTGAACTGTTCAGATTTATACAAATCCTTATTTTGAAAATATTTGAAACAATTTAGTTTTAATATTTAACAGAACAATAAATTTTTTTCTTATTTGGGACTTCTCCATTTTTTGAAACAGAGCTTTAATGCCCACAAAATGGTTGCTACTAGTTATATAACTTTATTTTTATTGCAGTATGATTATTCCTTGTTTTTAATACTGTAGTTTCTGCTTAAGTTCAGGAAGAGGAAATTCTTTTGTCTGTTCCATCATTGTAGTTTTTATTTTATTTTACTATCAGTTTGTAGTATAGACACTGATTTTGATTTTTTAATTTTCAAATAGTCATAAAAATTCTATGAAATTTTTATATAAGTATTTGCTTATAATTTGTATGTAGTTAGTCCTTCCATTTCAATTTATTACAACTTTTCATATTTTTCTCTAAAATGTGTATCAGTCAACATTTATGGGTATCTGTTTTCTGCCAGGTATTCTTCTCTATTAATCCCTGAAGTAAAGATAAAATGACTTTTATCATATGACGTATCAGGAATTAAGACAAGTATTTCATTTCTGTATTACATATGGTTATAGGGAGTTTGGTGATTTTCTAAGCATTTCTTCTAAGTATGTGTTTAAAATAGTTGCACTGTATGAAATACCTCGCTCAAACTTAAGCTCAATTAAACTCTCACATCACTTGAGTTTCTACCATGTAGCACATGGGTTATGTATTGGGTTCTTCTCTTGTGAAGAAGGGATGTGACCATTCTTAGAAGCATGTCACCATTCTTAATACTCCTCAGTGTTTATTAACTTCATGCAGACAGTTATACATCCACTTTATAACAGGCTGATGCTCCTTATGAGATGCATCCATGTATAGCCCTTAATGAGCTGTGTACTGTTTTTATCACGTCAGTACGCCAGAGAAGACCCTGAAAAAGATCAAGGACTTGTTATGTCTCCCAGAAATATGGTCAGAGGTTTTCTTTAGTGCACAAAGCTATAAGCCACCACTAAATGTCCCTTTGATACACCCTGACAAAGAGGACTCCATTTGAAAGAAGGAGAAAATTTCTTGGAGAAACAGTTTTGGAGCACCAGTGTGGTACTTCTGATTTAAAAATGAGGCAAAGCATAAATTTTTCTTCAGTCCTTCTAGGGACTAAGACATGCTGAAAAGATGAGTGTGCAGCTCTGTGCAGTGAATCAGATGACAGTGTGGCTTACCTGGGGGTGGCTGACAGCATCCTTACGTACATGAGGAGACTGCAACAGTGTTACAGCAGCACCCTTAACTTTTGAGTCTCTTTCTAAAAGGCTGTGAAGATGGGATTGGGTCCATTTAGGTTATTATCTTATCACTAATAAAAAAGGAATTATGGGAATGCTGATGCCAGTGTCCATTTTGGTGAACACCCTTACAATTCTAGTGCCTTGGACAGTATAAATTATGAAATAATTAAAAATAAACACACCAGTATCTTTATTTTTTATTTTAAAAATTTTTTTATTAAGGTATGATTGATACACACTCTTGTGAAGGCTTTGCATGAAAAAACAATGTGGTTATTACATTTACCCATATTACCAAGTCCCCACCCATACCCCAATGCAGTCACTGTCCATCAGTGCCGCAAGATGCCACAGATTTACTATTTGCCTTCTCTGTGCTACACTGTTCTCCCCATGATCCCTCACACCTTGTATACTAAACATAATACCCCTCAATCCCCTTCTCCCTCCCTCCCCACCTGTCCTCCCACGCTCCTCCCCTTTGGTAACCACTAGTTCATTTTTGGAGTCTCTGAGTCTGCTGCTATTTTGTTCCTTCAGTTTTGCTTCATTGTTATACTCCACAAATGAGGGAAATCATTTGGCATTTGTCTTTCTCCACCTGTCTTATTTCACGGAGCATAATGTCCTCCAGCTCAATCCATGTTGTTGCAAATGGTAGGATTTGTTTCTTTCTTATGACCGGGTAGTATTCCATTGTGTATATGTACCACATCTTCTTTATTCATTTATCTACTGCTGGACACTTAGGCTGCTTCCATATCTTGGCTATCGTAAAAAGTGCTGTGATAAACATAGAGTTGCATATGTCTTTTTGAATCTGAGAACCTGTATTCTTTGGGTAAATTCCAAGGAGTGGGATTCCAGGGTCAAATGGTATTTCTATTTTTAGTTTTTTGAGGAACTTCCATATTGCTTTCCACAGTGGTTGAACTAGCTTACATTCCCACCAGCAGTGTAGGAGGGTTCCCCTTTCCCTGCATCCTCACCAGCATTTGTTGTTCTTAGTCTTTTCGATGCTGGCCATCCTTCATGGTGTGAAGTGATATCTCATTGTGGTTTTAATTTGCATTTCCCTGATGATTAGTGATGTGGAGCATCTTTTCATGTGTCTGTTGGCCATCTGAATTTCTTCTTTGGAGAACTGTCTCTTATCCTCTGCCCATTTGTTAATCGGGCTATTTGCTTTCTGGGAGTTGAGGCGTGTAAGTTCTTTATATATTTCGGATGTTAACCCCCTTGTCAGATATGTCATTTACAAATATATTCTCCCATACTATAGGATGCCTTTTTGTTCTGTTGATGGTGTCCTTTGCCGTACAGAAGCTTTTTAGCTTGATGTAGTCCCATGAGTTCATTTTTGCTTTTGTTTCCCTTGCTCGAGGAGATGTGTTCAGGAAGAAGTTGTTCATGCTTATATTCAGCAGTGTCTTTATTTATGAAATAATTTATGAAATACTTTTATGGGGCACTTAAATCTTTAAAACATGTAATATTCATAAGAGGTTAATTCATCTCTAAAGTCAGGTATTTCTAATTACAGTTTAATAATTAATATGCTTTGGGCACTACACTATTTTTTTGGAGGTTTATTTTTACCTGATTACTGACCATTTCTCTGTGTTTTGTGACAAATCTAGAGGTAAAGACACATGTAGAGATCTAGTATCTTTAGGGGAAATCTAGATTCCTCCCTAGGCAAAGTAAGAAATAAATTAATGTTAATTATGACTATCATGATATACCACTGTAAAGAGCACAGTGGTGAAATGTGGAAATTCTCATCCTGGATTTGCTTCTTCCTTCCTGTGTGGAAATGGACAGGTCAGTTTACTCACAAATGAAATTAGGATGTCTGAAGTGCCTTCAAGCTTTAACATCTCTGGCAGGATGTTTTATATTAATTTATCCAGACAAATCTCTATATAGGTTTTACACTCAGTTTGTCAATGTCTACAAAAAAGTCTGCTGGGGTTTTGTGTGATACTGTGTTGAATCTGTAGATACATTTTGGGGAGAGTTGACATTTGAAAGTATTGAGCCTTGAGATCCATGAACACAATGTGTCTCCATTATTAATGTCTTTTCTGATTTTTCCTATAATGTTTCATGATTTTCAGTGTTTGAAGTCTTACCCATATTTTGTTAGATTTATCCATGTTTCATGTCTTTTGATGTAAATGGTATTTCTAAATTTCATTTTCACCTTTTTTTGCTGACAATTTATAGAAATATGATTGATTTTTGTGTATGGGCCTTGTATCCAGCAAGCTTGCAAAACTCACTAGTTTTAGTAGCCCTTTCTGCAGATTATTTAGGATGCTTTGAATAGATGATCATATCTTCTGTAAACAAATAGTTTTACTCCATCTTCAATCTGTATGCATTGTATTTCTTTTTTTGCCTTTTTTTGTTGGCTGAGACCTCACTACAGTGTTAAACACAAGTGACCAGAATAGACATCATGACTTTGTTCCTGATCTTACGGAGAAAACATCTTTTATCATGAATATGATGTTAATAACCACATCTAGTACCAAGATCGTGGTTTCTAACTGTTGTTCTCCAACAAAAAGAACCAAGGTTATTTGGAGAAGTAGTTGATTCCAGAGCTGGGAAGGGGAAATAAAAGATGAGCCTGAGCATTATTGTGGTGCCACAAAGTAAAAAACAAAAACAGATAGATAGGAAGGGACATGTTAATAGGACACTGAAGCCAACCTTAAATAATTCCCAGTAGTGAAAGCTAGAACAACTTCAGTAGCAAAATAAACATAGTATTATATTATGTTCCAAATAAGGAAGTAATGTAGAAATATACAAAAGAATGTAGAAAGGATGAGGGAACTAGAGAATCAGCATGAGAGCCCTGGAGTAAAAATTGCTGCATGCAAGAACATGCAAATATTACTGCACCAACGAACATTAAAATTAGTGGGCAAAAGTTTAAGATTGAGGTTATTGGCATAGTCTCAATATATTTCTCCTGAAACATTATTTACAAAGATCAATAGTGGAGTAATCTAGCAGACACTGTCTTTAAACCAGGTGATGAAGATTAACATCACCGGTAGTAAGGCATACCAACATCATGTTGCCCATGAGACGAAGCCCCGAGAAGGATTTACCGCTCTTGAAGTAAAGTTATCCTCAGCATGCATAACCTCAGTATAGTCGTGAGGAAACCTGAACGACCCATGTGTAGGGACATTCCTCAAAGTAACTGGCCAGACAGTTTCAAAAGTGTCAATTTCATGAGATGCAAGGAATGATGTGGAACTTAGACTGGAAGAGACTAAATGCAGTGTAGGATTCTGGACTGGATTGTAGAACAAGAAAGGGAGGTAGTGGAAAAA